CAAAAAGGTTTGATAAATTTGATGAAAAAGTGTTACGGTTTCGATAAGGTATAATAAAAGTTTTGAAAAAAGAAGTGTTACTGTTTGAATAAGAAATAAAAATGTGAGGAAAATCATACGTCAATGCAGATTATTTTTTTTTATCATATACCATTTAATTATAGAACTGGAATTTCAGATCATGGGTGTGCGTGAACATTGATTTCAGATCTCTCTCTCTCCTTGTTTGACACTATTCAATGCCCAGCTATTCGATACAGCCTTCTTAAGCGTCAGCTCAGATTCATCAGTTTTTTGTTGTTGTTTTTTTAAGGTGAACAACTGCAGTGTAAGTTCTATATAAATGTAACTTTCGACATGTCAAGTCAACATCTCTCGACTAGGCACAATGAAAACGAAAAACTGGACACACGGGTCATCTTTCTACCAACGCTGAAAGAACAAATGATTCAGTGGGTGCAGGATAACTTTGCTGAATTCAACCTATTCAATAACAAACCACCATTTATCACTGTACTTTAGTTTCAAGATGTCTTCTCAAAATAAGGACAAAACTAAAACTAAGGAAGGCCAAGATCAGGTGTTTATTATACTCACTTCCAAAGCTTTAAGTTGCTGCTAGTCAAACTTAAGAGTCAATAGTGGGAATAGCTGCAGCCTCTTAACCCTGACAATGTTTATTGGTTGTTCCACAAACAGTATAACACATTTCCTGGAAAGTTCTTTTAATTGTAAACTTTTTCTTCTATTAGGCAAGGAATTCAGTGTCAACTTCAATGTTCTTTGTTTTTTCATTGTTTGTCTAGGTATAAAAATAACACAGGCCTGCAAATTTATACTTCATAAAGATTGTTTTTGGTTTTAATAACAGATTTTCCATAATTCAGCTATGCAAATTTTGAAAATAATATATTTTCTTTCTATCACATATGGATTTTTTTTACTAAGCGAGAAGAAAAAACAACTCTTATTTTGATTAACTTATTATTTCATTTATCACAATGAAAATTTTTTTTATTATTATGTTTGTTTACAAAAATACAAACAAACTGAAGAAAAGAGAAGAACATTGATGTCAAACAAACATTCATCCTCATTCATTCAGATTTTTTTTTTGTGTGAAATCTACATCTTTTAGTCTCAAAACTGAGTGTTGTGGTCTTTCTTTTATGTATTTCGTTATGACATTTTGTAAAAAATCTGTATGTGATGGAGAAAAATGGATATTATTTTTGGATTCAGCATACAGGAATTACTGTAGAACATATAAAAATATCAAGACAATAAAACCATGGCAAGCCTGTGTAACTAATAATATGATGGGTTGGAAGATACCAATTTCTCTCTCAGTTGCTAATTAGATCTAGTTTCTATGCATTTAATGTATTGTGCATGTATACATATAACATAGCTGGTTCAACTTCAACAAAAATACAAATATTTAGTTTAACAACAAACTACAAAAGCCAGTATGTAAAATAAAAATAACACCTTCCAAAATTGATAGTAATATGAAGAAGATATAATCAAAGAATGCAAGCTTCCCCTGGTGGGTCAGTAGTAATTTTACACTGCTAAAATCTGGAGTTTGATTCACCCATGGTGGACATAGTGCAGAAACCTTGTGGTGTAAGCTTTGTGCTAAAACAACAACAAACCCCTGTAGTTGTGGAATTTCCATATAGCAAAATATCACATCCATCTAAAACTTAAATGGGTGAAGGATTTTTTTTTCTAGTGCAAAGCTGCATAATGAGCTAGCTGTACTCTGTCCACTGTGAGAGATCAAACCCCAGGATGAAGATAAGTTCCACATATCAAGATTGATAGGCAGGCTACTATAAAAAAAAAAATTCTGAATAATAAAAAAAAAGATATATCTAAAAAATTTATAATGTGAACTATGTTAATCCTTTCTAAGACAATCCTTCCAAACTCTCTAAAGTGTTGACTGTATACAATCCTTCCAAACTCTCTAAAGTGTTGACTGTATACAATCCTTCCAAACTCTCCAAGGTGTTGACTGTATACAATCCTTCCAAACTCTCCAAGGTGTTCACTGTATACTATCCTTTCAAACTCTCCAGTGTTCACTGTATACGATCCTTTCAAACTCTCCAGTGTTCACTGTATACGATCCTTTCAAACTCTCCAGTGTTCACTGTATACGATCCTTTCAAACTCTCCAAAGTGTTCACTGTATACATCCTTTCAAACTCTCCAAAGTGTTCACTGTATACAATTCTTTCAAACTCTCCAAAGTGTTCACTGTATACGATCCTTTCAAACTCTCCAAAGTGTTCACTGTATACAATTCTTTCAAACTCTCCAAAGTGGTCACTGTATACAATTCTTTCAAGCTCTCCAAAGTGTTCACTGTATACAATCCTTCCAAACTCTCCCATGTTCACTGTATACAATCCTTTCAAACTCTCCAGTGTTCACTGTGTACAATCCTTTCAAACTCTCCAAAGTGTTCACTGTATACAATTCTTTCAAACTCTCCAAAGTGTTCATTGTATACAATCCTTCCAAACTCTCCAAAGTGTTTACTGTATACTATCCTTCCAAACTATTGACTATATATAACCTTTCAACAAGAACACTGAGAGAATTTGTCATGTTTATTGTTTGAAAACTAGCAGCCTATTGTAATAGTAACCATATTCTGAATGCAAAAAAAAAAAAGTATTATTGCAGCATTTAATTATTGACGGAAACCAAAATCACCTTTTGCTTCTTCAAACTATAGTTTTCATCATAAAGACCTATTAATATATTTGATGATGCATATTACAAGCAGGTTCTATCATTATAACCCCTAGTTCATCATATTTGTATATCAGATGTACGAGTAATTATCTGTTTTTCAGAATCCAAGTACACATTTCATATCTAGTTTTACTAGAGGCACTAACTGGTATACAAAATCAAAGGAAATGACAAAGATGTATTCGTCATAATATGGATTCTATTTTTTTTTAGGTTCTTTGTCTGCATCTCTCCCTTTTAGGTGCTTTTGAAAAAGAAACTGGAATTACTTTCAACTTTCTTTACTTTGTGTTAATAATCATAAGGTTCACCTACTTTTCAATAAAAATCTTTGTTAATAATGTATTATATCACTAGCTTTGCATGTTTACCAAACTCGTATCTCATTTATTTTTGAAACAGTTTAATAATATCATAATGATAGTAAACTGTGAGACAAGTTGTGTTGATATCACACCCACACATCAACTACGCTAGATATCAACAATTCTTGTACTATCAGACTTGTAAGATGTGGATGATTTACACTACTTAACCCTTTCTTTAACTGAGATAACATACATATTATTTTTTTATGTGATGGTATACATGCTTAAGCAACTTTACATCTCTAACTGAAATAACATACATATTAATTTTTTTTTATGTGATGGTACACATGCTTAAGCAACTTTACATCTCTAACTGAAATAACATACATATTAATTTTTTTTATGTGACGGTACACATGCTTAAGCAACTTTACGTCTCTAACTGAGATAAGATACATATTAATTTTTTTTTATGTGATGGTACACATGCTTAAGCAACTTTACGTCTCTAACTGAAATAACATACATATTATTTTTTTTTATGTGATGGTACACGTGCTTAAGCAGCTTTACATTGTATAGAAAGTTTGAATTATCCAAGTTATGAATATGTTTTTTCTTTTTTGCCAGCAAGACATATTATGTGCAGATATAATTATGAAAGCACTACAGATAACATAAATAGTTTAATACATGTGTAATAAGTAAGTTTTAGAAGAAGAAACAGGCTAATACAGAAAATGACAGATAGATATGCAACATATGTGATCAAAGCAAACTACTTTTACACACACAACTGAAACATACAGAGTTTAATGTTACCTTAAAATACATGGTTTAAGTTGAGAAATAGATCACTTTCTACAGAGGCATTGGAACTAGGGAACTTTAGCACCCCCCCCCACACTTTTACATATTTGACTTATATAGCAACTGTACATTATATTATTATTTTAATTTTCTGTAGGAAACATGTCCCCAGACCTTCCCTTGGCTAAAAGCAGCTTCTTATACTTTGAATTCCTTATTGTAAAATCTACATGTCCATCCAAGCACCCCCACTTTGAAACTCATTCCTATGCCAGTGTTAGAGATGGTCAAATATGTGCCACATACACAAGATTACATCTGTGAATACACAAATTAATGGTACACACAAACCTAATGGGTTTTTAGAAAGATTTAATGTTTTGAGTTTATTTAATGATAATAAAAAAGTTTTAAATGAACAGAGATATGTGTAAAGACAGTCATTCATGTAGTGTATATAAGAGTACATTTGTGAATATTCAGACTAAATGCACACACAGAACTAGTTGGTTTTTTGTCAATTCAGAGGCATCACTAGGTGCTGGCACAAGGCCTGTGCCCTGAATCTCTAGTTAGTGTCTTAAAAATCAGAATAGAAAACCATGATTGATATCATACTGAAATACAGAAAATTTTTACTCCTGTGGGCCCGAGCCCTGAATTGTTTAAGCATCCAAGCAACACTTCTGAGTCAATTAATGAAATGTTTGAAGTTTACTTTTTTTCCAAATAATCCTATTTTATAGATTTTTATTGAGACAAACATTTATTATTTGCATAAAAACTGTTCTTTTCTTCCACAATCCAGTTCCAATTCAAAGAAGTTTCGATTTCCATCAGATGCTTCTTTTTCTTGTTCATGTTGTTATATAAAATTATCATTTCCACTTTTGTTAAACTCTAGAAACTTTACAAAAAGCCTTAAACATCAGTAACCATACAGGCTACAATACATCCATTCTGAACAGCTAGATTACATTAGTCAATAACCTTAACAGCTTTCAAAATGTGAAACAGTAACAAATAGCATGAAAAACAACAACAAAATATACATATAATTCTGAAGCATCAGACTGTGAAAAATTTAGTCTTCTACCTGCATTAAATATCAGTAAGCACACTGAACATTCATAAATGTAACAAAGCTTTGCCAATCTACATCTAACTGAAAATATATATATATACAATATATACAAGTATATATAAATTTGTTCTTAAGTAAAACTTTTTCTACATTAGGGATTTTTTTTTAAATTGCTAACAACATCATGTTTCTTATAATCTGAAATTTTCATTTAAATCAAATATTTCCTTTTTTCAAATTTACTCATTTCTTCAGTTGTGCAGTTGAAAACTTGAACTACTAACTGTATAAAATAACAAAACTAAACTAGTTTATGGTCACATGACTGGCATTAAATTTTTCATTCTTAACATACTATACAATTGATCATTGTAAATGCACACTTAATTTTTAAATAGTTAGCAAATATCACAGACTATGTATATATATATATATATATATATATATATA